CGGCCAAAACTGTTTTTGCTTTGGGCGGCAAAAATCCTAGAGCCGGCCCTGCATGGCACATTGTGGTCAAGAACAAGGTAGTCCAAAGGGTGCTAGGCTTGGTTACAAATCTCAACAACTTCCATATACATACCCTTCATCCTTTGCAAAAGTGTTCCATAGCCCATATCATACTGGTAGGCAAGTATAAAGCTTAAGGGAACCATTGGAAGGAACAGTCCTGGTTTCTTCTTTTTTATTGCTCTGTTCATATTAAAAAAAAAAAAAGGAAGGGGAATAACTACGTTTTGTAAGATCAGCAGCAACCTAAAAGCTTCACTAATCATACAGAAGGTATTTAGCTACTCTAGAGACAGAGCCAAATATGATTCAGAAGACTATTAACCTGTTTTATGCACATTTTGAGAAACATTTATTTAACGAACAAACAAAACAAAACAAACATTGAAATGAAAGACATTTCTTGTGCTCCAGAAAAGTTTAAAGTGCTACTAACTACTGGTTCAGCATGCGTGTGTTTCGGAACAAAAAGAGTCTGATGTTCACAATACAGGCTATTTATTACAAACCAAAATGCATATATTATTTTTTTTATAGTAGAATGTACAGTACATCATCGTTACAGGGCTAGCTGCATCTCTGAAATTTACAGATGAGCAATGTAAGAAAAATGTTGTTTGAAAATTCAAAGTTTGATTTAAGGATATTTACTTTGTATATTTTGGCATGTGATGTTGACAATTTGTGTTTTAACTGATACAAAGCTTTAACTTTTTGAATCTCAATGTTTACTGTCATTAAATACTTACTGGCTGATCTCCCCCATAATTATGAAAATTTAAATAGATAAAAATAGGAAAAAATACTTAAACACTGATATCTGTAGAAATATATATTAAATATATATTTAAAAAAATCAAATTCTGACAAGCTTACTTAAGAACAGGCAAGAGAAAGACAATGACCACTGAGGAATTACTACAACTAATTTACTTGAATTTTCTAGTACATAACGAACTTCATACCCAGCAGTTAGACCTACAGCAGCAAGTCCAAAAAATATTCCAAAATATTTGAGGAATTCCCTTGTCCAAGCAATCTGCATAGCCATCTGTCTCTCTCGCATTTGACTCTGCATCAGTATCTGTCTTTCCAGCTGAGAGTAGGTGAAAAAGAAAAGGAAAATTAGATCAAACAAAATAATTCATAATCTGAAAGTTTGAGCAGATCTTTCAATCAATCAACACAAAACTCTAGTGAGAAGTTTTTGGTCTTCATTTCTTTCCAGGCAATTATTAACGCTATTATGTTGAGATAAGTCTTCTCTAATAATTCATATTGTTAGAATGGTTTATACCAGTATTCCTACGATAAAGGATTTTCTAGATTAGCAAATATCAGAAGAAAGCATTTCCCCCCCCAATCACCGTGCCTTTGCAGGTCACAACTGAGAATACCAAATTCAGGACAAACTGCTGAGAAATAGGGCAGATACACCTGAAAACTGGCAGTTATTCTCCCTTAAGATATACCAAACCAGCAACAAAAGTAAACAAAAAAGTATTAAGAACACAAAGAGTAAGTGTACAGAATGTTCCCTTATTATGCATCTAGTATATTAGATGTACTATTTTTACCTACTGTCTAATGTGAGAATGTGTTTATACTTTTGTAATTGGTTTCCCACCCATTTAGTTATCTACATCACTATGGATGTAACTTGAACAGAACAATTTAAGTTAAATTGTTACTGATTATTTCCTTCAGACTATGCTGATCTTGCCATCCTATTTATAAACAGGTAAGATACCAGATGAGTAGAATTAATTTGTTAAAGATAATAAGGGACAGATTTAATTATATTTAATTGTACATAGGAAAAGCTCCATTCAGTAAAGTCTCAGCAAATTGTTACATCTGGAGAGTAAAAGTCTGGAAAAAGAATAATTCTTATTACAAATATCATCAACATCCACTAATTTTCCGGACAGCCATAATTTTCAGACCACTTTAATTTCTGAAGAGGTAATTATGTAGTGGCTCATAAACCACTTAATAAAATATCAAAATAATTAGATTTAATTTGGTCACTCATGAGACATTTGCAAGCTGAGGTAAGCAGCAACACTGCCTGTTAATTAGCTCCATTGTGGACCCTAATATCAGAGGTTTGGCAAATTGTTGAGGGCTGAAATGACTAAGACAAAATAATATATAAAATATCAATATAATTACCTCTATTTTCCTCTCAATTTGGTTATTGGTGCACAACACACACTGATGTGGAAAATATAGACGTGCCTTTTTGTTTGCTTGAACAACAATAAATAATCTGTGCTCCTAAAATGCATAGTTCTATAAATGAGTCTTTGATTTGGGGTGGTGGGAGAAGGGAAGAGGATATGATGCATGAACATCTGTTGAAGGCGTCAGAAACAGAAGTTTGCTGAATAGTAGTTACTGGAAAAGCAAGTACAATCTAATTTGCAACAGTTAGTCACAAGCAAGTGAATAAAAGATTGAAAATTTTAGAACAAAAAGTAAACCAGACAGGATATTAACACTACTTTTGAAGATAAAAGTTATACTTTGATGGTGCATTCTAATCCACGTACCAAAAGGAGGAAAACCAGTTACTGAATTACAGGCACAAAAGGTCAGATGAACACATCTCTATAAATCTGCCATATCAAGTTTCAGAAGCCCAGAGTTATTTTTTGAGTTTACAAATTATAAAACTATCATTTACTATAAACTAAGACAGTGGCGCTAACCTTTCCAGACTATTGTGCCCCTTTCAGGAGTCTGATTTGTCTTGCATACCCCAAGTTTCACCAAACTACAAAATCACACACAGAAACACAAAAGTGTCACAGCACACTATTACTGAAAAATTGCTGACTTTCTCATTTTTACCATACAATTATAAAATAAATCAATTGGAATATAAATATTGTACTTACATATCAGTGTATAGTATACAGAGCAGTATAAACAAGTCATTGTCTGTATGAAATTTTAGTTTGTACTGACTTTGCTAGTGATTTTTATGTAGCCTGTTGTAAAACTAGGCAAATATCTAGATGAGTTGATGTACCCCCTGGAAGACCTCTGAGTACCCCTAGGGGTACACCTACCTCTGGTTGAGAACCACTGAACTAAAACTTGGATTATACACTAAAAACAAAACCCCAGATTATGTACAGTCATATTCTTCATACTCCTCCATGACCTCTTAATAAAACACTTTCCTTAATGTATACTATTCAACTTACAGCAAATACTAACTACAGATGCTAACCCTACACAAGTGTAGTAATTTTCTATGCAGATTTCCCGCCTCCAAACGCACATTTTTAATTCTTTGACTTTTGAACAGACTACTCCTAAACAAAGATTTATCATATGTGCCAGTGTTCAAGGCATGTATTAGGAATTCAGTTAAGTGTATTAAATGTAGTTTTTAATATAGCGCTAATAGTTTTGAGGTATCTCAAAAACAAAGGTACAGTACTTTTATCACTTGCTATTTTGCAAGGAACCATAAAACTTTAGAGAATCAGTGACAGAGAACATTAAATCCCAGCGTAGTATGTACCTTCCAGTACCACCGGGCCTCTTTGGTACATCACATATTTAGCTAAATGGAGGTTTCTCAAGAAGCTGCTCCCTGCCAAAATGTGCACATAGGCTATAATATTCAATGTTATTTGTATTACTTAATTTGATTCAGCAGGATTTCACTGGAGCATCTAAATAAATTAAGAGGGCCAAATCCTGCAATCCTTGTTGGGCAAAACTCCCAATGAGGACTGTGGAAATTCTGCCTGAGAAAAGACCTCAAGATCTGGACTACAGGCAAGAAATTTTTCTTTATTCATATCATTCCTCCCAAAGGGATTAACCCAAAGGACACTGAATTCAGTGGAAAGATTCCCACTGAACTGAATGGGTCTTAGATCAGGCCCTAATTCTGCTCCCAAGTTGGCTTACAAAACACAAGTTTACAAAAATAAAGGGGTTTGTATAACTTATAATAAAGGAAGTTCGCCCTTTTGCAAAAGTAACCATGTAAATTCAAACGTGCTGTTAGCTTCTGTGAAAAGTATAGAGTCTTGTTCTTCCTTCCATTAAAAAAGGTTAAATTTCAAGTTCCTTAAAATTAGAAAATAGTCATTTGCACACATTGCCTTGGTTAGTTACAAGGAAGGACATTTTAATTCTCACTGATAAGAGATTTCATAAACAAGTATCTTATCAATGTAGCAAGAAATACAACTCAAATGCTCAGTGAAAGTCAGCTGAACAGACACTCCAGCTTGACAAAAACTAAATCAAAGCATGAAACAGCATGAACAAAACCTAGTGACACTTGCCCAAATTCATCCCTGATGTAACTTCATTAACTTCAATGGCATTTACACCAGGGATTAATTTAGTCCATTATTTACACAAAAAATATTATTGTTATTTAAAAAATGCTTGATGACTTTTATTAGAAGATGCCTGAGCCCTAGAAACAAAATCTTTCAGGGCAAGGGCAAGGTGACTTTGACTGATTTCAGTCTTATCCTTAAAGGAGAAAACACAGACACAGCCCAAACCACAGTTGTCCCAGGCAATGCAACTCCATCAGAAAGTCTCAAAAGATATTTTCAATTATTAATAAATACCACATATCCTCTGTTTTATTTATAAATGGATAAACTGAGGCACAGAGTGTTTAAATGACTTTCCCAACCAAGGTCAAAGTGTCAGAGTCACTCCCACCCACAATCAGCTGTACCCTCCCCCCTTAAAAAATTATGTTGATTTAGCCAAATTACAAAGCCTCAGAAACCATTGACAAGTATATTCATTTCCAAAACTTTTTTTTTTTTAAACTTATTCAAAGGCTGAGGGTTTTTCAAGTGCTTCTCATTTTAAATTACTTCCCGGACTCATTGGAAAACAAGCTATTTGCACCACCAGTAACAGAACGGTCACATTTCCCCACCCGCTCTAACAAGGCGGACCCAAACACAAGGAGCTCAGCAGAGCAGCTGAGGTGCCCCCAAAGGGGAGATGACAAGTTTAAGAAACCCAGCCTCTCTGCGGGGAAGCCAACCACGAGGAGCCCAGCAGAGCCCATGGATATATTCAGACTCCAAAGAGAGTCAGCCACGCCCAGAGAGTATTATGCAAGTACAACTTGTTTCACATGCAGAGCCTGGAAGAGTACCAACACCTTTGTATTTTCATTCTGATCCCTAGACTTGTGCTCAGCATTTCTGAAAGTTAGGCTTTAAGCTTTTTGGTGCCTCAGTTTACCCATCTGTAATACTGAGAGATCACCACCTACTTCAGAAGGATGTTGAAAGACTTAACTAATACTAGATATGCTTGAAGACAGCACCTTCAGTTTTCACGGACTTCAATGGCAATGGAGGGCCCTTAGTGAAATATCCTGTTGAGGCCCACATACATGGTTAATAGAGGTTTAGTTTAAATTATATTTTTAAAGTGTTATTTATAGATTGGAGAGCCAGGAATGATGACGGTGGTCAGCTAGTCTGACTTTAATACACCTGGATCCAACACCAGTTCCATGTAGGAAAAGGCTTTGACTGTTAAGCACAACATATTTTTTAAAAACAGATTTGAAATTGGATGTTTGACCACAGCTTTGAAATTAATATTCCATTTTCAGCTGCTAGTCTTAGTGATTTGTCTTAGTTTATTTTCTTTCATCAGAGGGGTAGCCGTGTTAGTCTGAATCTGTAAAAAGCAACAGAGGGTCCTGTGGCACCTTTAAGACTAACAGAAGTATTGGAGCATAAGCTTTCGTGGGTGAATGCCCACTTGCGT